CTTCGAACGTGATTTTCTGCATCCTATCGACGGCGAATAGGTCTTGCATTTCTTCTTCGGTGGCTCCGTCGCTGTCGCGGAATCCGCCGTTGTGGCTTTCTCTTCTCCCGCTTCGCGATTACGCGTTACCATTATTGCTCTTGAGCCGTAAGTGGTGGTGAAATAAATACTCGCGTTCTTTAGGATCAAGGATTGTGGCGTAATTTTATCAACCCCGCGTAAGTAAACATGCACGAAGTCAAATTCCTCTTGAAACTTCTGCTTCGAGTTCGAGGTAGATATAATCCGTCGAATTTCCGATTAGTTTTATCGTCGCTTCGTACCTTCCTGCGTCGTTTGCTTGCAGTCCCACTTGCACCTTTTTCGTATCCGAATTGTTTAAAGTGTATGTTGTAGACAGTAACATGTTACCCTTTCGATTAAAGTTTCGACCGCTTGTGATGTCACTGCGGGTGTTATTACGCCCGTCCTTCTCGATATTCTGCTTAGCGGCCATTATATTTCTCACGACACTCACTCCTCGAATAGCCCGTGAATAATTTTAACAAACGCCGACTTTTCGTAACAGCGAAACGTGACTATCGGAGCACTACCGACGGTATGAAACTCGCGAGCGATCAAGAGCGGTTTTATAGGGTCGCAAGAGTGCGAAAAATGCCTAGAGGGAGGTAGTATACGCGTACCAAAAATATTTATTTAATAACATTTTTCAGTTACGCTTCTCTGGCGCGCTTTTCTAACGTAAGGGCGAATGCAAGGGGGAAGGGGCTTTAAGCGCACAAATTTATGACGAACAACGATAATATTTTATACCTGATATTCTGCCTACTTTGAATGTTAGTAATCACCACGTCGCTTCTCTCAGGCTTATTTTCATCTTACCGCATTTTCTTTTTTCTTAAACGCAATGGTTGCCGTAACCGGCGGCAATATTCTAACGCTTCTAAACTCTCCTTTTTTTTTTGTATGTTTAGGCGCTCGCATTTTTGTCTCAGGTTTTCGCACGTAGCTGATTGTTTTGTCATGTTTTTCGGGTTCCGGGTTTGAAAAAAAAAAAAGCGAATCTGGCAGGTGAGCGTGCAGACACCGTGCAGCCCCCCGAGCTCGTGTTGTCTGAGGCGAAAGACACGCGCCAAAAAAAAACAAGTATTTACGCGTTCTAATGAACCGGCGCGTATAAAAAAGGTGCGAGATATAAACAGGCGTATTTGGAATATGCCGCGAATTAGCAGGCTATTGTAATAGCCGGCACAAGCGAAAAAATAATCAGCGGTATTTCAGCCGGCGTCTTCTGAGTCAGCGCGAGGATTGCCCCAAAGATACGATCGGAATTCCCTTTTTAACAAAAAGAGCGATTTTCCTAGAGGAAGCACACCGTTATATACCCGTATCATTCTTTTGTCGGCAAATGGTCGCGCATTCTCACACATCCGGTAGAAAAAACAACTTTGAAAACGCTTAATCCGTCAGGTCTTACTATTTACCTCAATATTTACCGAGTGTGTTTTTCGACGATAAACCCTAATAATTTAAAAAATCCTTCTTTCCTGGGAGAAGCGTTTTGTCCTAGGAGAGAGAGAGAGGAGTTAGATTTTGAGGGTATATATGCGAGGAGAAAACTCCGGTTTCGCATTTTCCGTCAGTTTTCTGCCGTGAGTCCCCGATACAATGTCGCGAGTAGGTACGTTAGTGCGCGAGTTCATTGTTACGGCTTCAAACGCCGCGAATATCAATAGCGTTCGATATTTGACGCGTATTTCCGTCGATGACGCGGAAAATTATAACATATTTTATTCTTTTGCATGCGCTTGTAGCAGTACGCTGCTAGCGCTTTTGTGAAAGTGTGAAAAATTTCAGGGTGATCCGAAATTAGCAGAAATAATCCGTGAAATTCTAATATTTCGACGGGATTTTGAAGAGAACGTCGAGGACGTGTGGGGTATTATCGCCGACGCGATATCCTACAACGGGTAAGTTAAAACATATCAATTTTATAACGAAAACTAAAACTAAGTAATTTACGCGAATTTTTAGAATAATTATTGATTTTATTGATTTATAAGAGCGAGTCTCGTAGCCGTCGGTAGCAGTGGCGAGGAGGCGCTTGAACTTCTTCCACGGGGTCGTAAACGCCTCGCGGAGGAACCAGCTTACCCGAGTCAGGCAATTTCGCGTAAGTACAAATCGGGGGAGAGAGGATTTAAAGCAGTTTATCGGGTAAATTATTTAACACCAAAATAATTTTTAGGTCGTAATAATGCTCAGTCACCGGAAGCCGACTTATGGGATTTCGATAGCATCTGCAGCGTGGAAACGCTTGTGAACGAGCCCGTCGTCGTCG